CACCCACTATCATGTCATTGTTGTTGTCGTCACAGCACCCTCCCCACATCCACCCATCAACCACCATGTCACTATTGTTGTCGTCACAGTTATCATCCTGCCTCCGACCACTCCCACCCCACTGAACATAATGCCAATACTATTTCTGTCATGGTAACCATCCTCATTACCACCCATCTTGTGGGTAGTGGGGCAGGTGGCGAGGGTGTGGCAGTGGGGGTAACGGGGGTGGGAAGTTTGATCTCTTTTTGTTTTTGTATTCGTAGATTGCATTCTAAATAACGACAATCTTTACAAAGGATATAATTGTGCTGGTAGACCCTCATCGATGAACTTGGGGTTAGTCCAACCATTTCACTTGGTCCACTAACACCTAACTCACTAGACCTTTTGGAGTTTATCCAAAAGGTTTCCATGTATTCAACCACAAAATATGGGCTTTTCGTCAAAGACCTTCCAGCCTAGTGGTAAAGGTTTGGGCATGGCATAGTCATGAACCCGAGTTCGAGCCCTGGAAAGGGAAGTGTTGGCGACATTTAAGCCATGTTTAGCCTCCAAAATTGTCGGGGATTAGTCGGGCTTTGGCCCGGACACCCTCCCAAAAAAAAATATGGGCTTTCCTTCAAACAGTTTTTGTCCTAAGGTACTATTTATGCAACAGAACTTTAATCAACAACCTTTTTAGAATATTGGTTTGCCAAAATTTGCACCCTCTCATCCCCGATTCAACACTAAATGGCTAGATGTTTCCTTCTAATTTTTGTTAAGGTGTTCCCCTAAATTTTTGGTGAAGTCTTCAGTCAATTACAAGTTGGTATATCTCAAGATAAAGTTAAAAATATAGTGGAGGATACCTCAGAATAGAATTTACATCTTGACCTACAGGTATGTCTCAAAATAACTTTAGTCAATCCCAAGTTGGTCAACCAAGGGCGTTCTGGGGCTTGCCTTTCAATCCTTCCATGAGTGCTCAACTGCAAGGAGTTATAATGCCTAACGAACTTCAAATGGGAAAACAATGGTGGTATGAGGCCTCCAATAACTAATGGATTTCCATGGAGGAAGGGGCGATGGCCATTTTAGAGGCACCAGAAGTGGATGGAGTCGATGAAACCAGATTTGGAGAAACCATAGTTGTTGGTTTGAAAACTCAATGAAATCCCAAAAAATAGGGGAGGGACGAGTAGATGTAGAAATCTAGTGATGACATGTTGAGTCATCGGAGAATAGAGAGTGGATCGGAGATGGCGAGGGCTGCCAGAGGAAGGGAAGATGGAGAGACGTCATGGAAATTATGTACTTTTTTAACTTCTTTAGATTAAAAAAAAAGTAAAATGATCAAAATATCCTTGATTTAGTGGAGTTAAAGTTAACAACATTAGGATAAAGGACTTAATCCATTACAAAAATGAAACAATGGTGACCATACATGTAATTATTTCGTCTGGAGTATCCAATACAAATTTTTCATATAACTACAGGGACGGAATTTGTAATTTACTCAAAAAGTTAATAAAAATAATAATAAATTGACCATATCATCCATCACCTGACAAGAAGTTTATGAAGTTAGATCAAGGGTGAGAAAATTGGGACCACAATGATGATATGTGAAATTATTTCACTTGAGAAACCAATTTATAATTGTCATATGAAGATAAGTTAATGAGAAAATTGGAACCAATGATGATATCTGAAATTATTTGGCTTCAAAGAACCAATTTATAATTTTCACATAACCACAGGGACCAAATCTGTAATTTAAATATACACCCCTTACAGTTACATAACTGGATGGGTAACAAGTGATCTTTATTCATGCAACAATCACCCTGCAATTGCATTCAGACAAATATCTTTTGGCATCCGTAATACTAGAAAAATAAAACATAGAACTTGTATAAACATCTTCAAAACCCATGGGTTGGGGGTTCAACATAACAGAATAAACTAAATAATTGAAAACAAGAAACCTCAAGTTAAGTATGCGATCAAAATCTTAAAAACCAATGGCAGGCAGTACTTCCAATTCAGCAGCAGCAGCAGCAATAGAATATGACTGATCAAGTACGAATTCCTCTATTCAGACTCACCATGCGACTTGAACCATCCATCTGACTTCCCCTACTCCCCATCGCACCACCCTGATARTTGTTACGCCCACCTCCTCCATACGTAGAATCATGGAATCGTGAAGAACTCTGCTGTTGATACCCACCTCTCGATTGGTTTCCTCGATACGTCTGACCAGGAGCAAACGCCCTTCCGTTCCCATACCCTGACCGCCCACCACTGCTCCCCACTCGTCCCTGTGAGTAAGACGACGTGTTATCTTGCCATTTTGTACCACCAGCAACAGACGCATAATCCTGACCCTCCCTCCTCCTYGATGGCAGACTCTCCAATCCACCTCCACCAAGCCTAGCCTCKAYTGCYCGCTCGTTGCTCTCCGCAAGAACCGTCAGTTTCTCTGTGAACTGGAACGCCAAAGCCTGTAGTCTGCTATGTTCAACCTCATGGAAAACAATGCACTGTGTAGGTTGATCCCAGCTCGCATGAAGCTCATCATTGATCATCATTTTGCTCACAGTGCAATGGGTCTGATATGTGGACAGGTCAAACATCTCTGAAAGCTGCTCCAATTTTAAAGTCTCGTAGCATGAGGAATACGTGAAAAGATAGGTCCTTAAAGCTTCTTCTTTGATCTTGTCTTTTAGCATTTCTAAAACCTTCTCACGGTTCCTAAGGAGTCTCCAGACGTCAAGTGAGTTGACGACGTCAAAGGATTTTTGGAAGTCGCCTTTGCTAAGGGCTCTGGTTGCAGCCATAATATGATCCCTGACGTTTTCTGGGGGACCAGTGAAGGTCTGCCTCTCGCTCACTTCAAGTAACCTTCTCAGTGTCTTGCTGATGACTTTGCGTCTAGCATCGTGGCTGTTTGCAGCCATATTTGGAACCTCCAAGAGCATGGCACATATCAAATGCACGGCCTCCAGAAGTTCAAGATTGATGTGCATGTGATATGGCATCTGCCTTCTCCTTTCCAGCCGTTCCTGCACCCAGAAATAAACAACTTTTAATGGTTATCAAGTAGGATTCATTTGGTCTGAGAGAATTGAGGATGGAATAATAGTAGTAGGATGTGTTTGGTTTGAGGGAATAGGAATGAAAAATGGGTACAAAATACGATAGGAATCACCCACACCCATTCCCGAATATCATCATCAACATCATGAGTGTTATTATTAACAAAATATTATATTATTAGTAGCAGTAGTAATATTAAAAATAAAAACTATTTATTAATAATATTAGTTTATTATTATTTTTACCACTATGATTAATATATTACTAGTTGTGTACCCACGCAATGCGGCGGGAGCCATGAATTTTAACGATTTTGAAATTCCACTGGTTTTATAAGATAAGATTTAACGATGATATATATTAACACTTGGTCTTTACATATTAATACAATTTGAATAAATAAGAGTTATGGTTCCAATTACAGACTATCGATGAAAAAAATTGTATGACAGTTTAAAATCCAACATATTTAAACGGCTTCACAAATGTGTTCGGTTTATACCAAAAGCAAAGAACCAAGAAACTTGAGTTTTAAAATAAACACTCAAAAACCAATAAAGAAAACTACAAATTTGACAGATCATAAGCCATGAAAAGACCAAAAAAGATGGGTTTTAGAATGAAATTTCAACTGCTTACTCTCTTTCTTGTTCAGAAACTCAGATTAAGGTTGAATTAATACATGTATATATATATTTCAAAAAAACCCAAGAACATATTATACAGTGCAATTTGAACAGCCTAACCCCAAAATATATAGTATATATATAAATAAATAACTATAAAAGTATAAATCGTAAATATTAAAAATATTTTTTCACAGTATATATAATATATAATAATATAATTAAGTCAAAAACTATTCAATACTGGACTCATTTCGAAGGTATTAACGAGACGATTATAATGGTGTAACTTGTTAAAATAAAAATGTATTTTTTAAACATGTTTTAATTGATATACGATTATGTATATTAATTTGATAAAGGTTTAAAATGAAACATTTAGAAGTAAAGGACGTAAAGTAAATTAATTAACCAATTATAGGGGTATAAAGTGTAAATTTAAAATTATAATTTTAAAAAAATCCTTTGTGAGAGGGTGAGTGGAGGAGGGGGTGAAAAAGTGAAAAAGTTATATAAAGGGTATCTTGGTCATTTAGTATTTTAAGACTTTAAGACTTTTGTTAAATTTGCTTTATAAGATAGTATAGATTCATCACTAGTGATATTAATAGTAATAAATATTAATTCATCACTAATTGTAATTTTTTTTGTCATACTATTATTATTTTTAGGATAGACAAAAAGAAACTATTACATTCTTAAAAGCATAATCATTACAATAATGCAGCAAAAGGTTAAATATATAGATTGCCAGCAACCATGGCACTAGTCTATCAAATAGGCTCAGACTAAACTTGGCACCAAGGTCCTTCAACAGTTCAAAGTCACAATATGAGACCAATCCAGACATGTACATATAGTAATAGTAGTTTAGCATTTACAACCCAAACTAATGACCAAAAGCCTTATAACCTACAACATACCTTAATGGACATTTTTACGGTAAAAAAGTGACATCAGAAATAGAAATGACATGGTGAAAGTAACAAGAGAAACGAAGAGAAAACACAAGTTTACTACAACAGTTGCAAGTATACATAATAAACCTAGAATTCTACCACTTCTATTAAAACTTACTTAAAGAACAGGAAAAAGAACCCATTGTAGGCCATCTCCAAAAGGTATAGCCAAGTGCATGGATGCACCTGTTCTCTATGATTTAGACAGTAAAAAAGACAATTGATCTACAAAATTCTGAAAAAGAAGTTGTGACAGGCCTCAACGGTGTATCACATGATGATAAACAAATTGAAACGGAAGACCATAATCATTAGCAAAGACTTCCAACTAAAACAAAAATGAAATTCAAGGGACAGACACAAGAAAAATAACAACTGATTTCTTACGGTGAAAAGAAATAAGAAGTGGAAGAAAAGAAAAACACAAAACAAATAAAGAAGAGAACAAAATGTCAATGACAGGGGGAGGTGAAAAAAATAATCTGAAAGCATATATGACAACTAAACTATTCCCTTACTAGTTACTACAACAATCATTTCAATTGCCTTGGTCAACTCTGCCTTGATACCTAGTTGAATACAGACCATATATACAGCCATTGAAACTCTTAATGTTTCATAAGACATTTTGTAAGAAGGTAAAGTACACAAATAATTGTGCATAGTCAACACCTAAAGACAAAAAAGCAACAAAATCAGGTTTCTAATAAGAAGCCAGACCATGACAAACAATGAAAAGGGGGTAAAGCCTACTTCTCAAAATGGTACCAAGAACAACACATAATTCGCAAACAATGTGGAACTGCAGATGGCTAACTCTTTTGTAAATCTTCTAACTAATACCCTGTCCAGCCCGCTAATTTCCTTTGAGGTGTAACGATAAAATCATGATAACAATGTGTTCTAATCGAACTCCTTAAATCCATTTAACATTAAAACCATACTCAAATGGTACTCGCACAATGCAGAGATATACATCTCGATTTAAATGTTTCATTTTTTTTTGTCTCAGTTGATGTTATAATACAGATCTATGTGGTTTTGAGAAAGGAATAATGTTTTTATTTTTGAATAAAATATAAATATGAAGATATATCATAAAATTTTGAAAAAAATATTGATATTAGTACCAAACTAACTATTTAAAATTTCTCTTTTTTGTGTATTTCTTTAATTCATTTTTTTATTTTTGGTTTAATAAAATCATTTTATAAAGATAATAATTAAGTATTTTTTTAAAACTCAATGATTATCTTAATTATATTTTTGATTTTTTATATTTAAAGTGAGATGTTTATCCTCTATTTGTTTATATTTATGTACAGGTAGTTACTATGAATTTAAACATGAAGCTTTAATAAGTTATAATTACGCATAATTTACTTGTAATCTTGAATTTTAAGTAATATACATCAATAGTACTTCATGCATAAAAAATGGTTTCTAAGAGTTTCTGTCAAATGCTTTATAATATAGTACAGATATGGTATGTATGATCGTAACAGCTCCTAAATTAGTAGATTTTCTTGTTGGTATTATACACAATGTTGAATTCAGATGTATGCCTGTCTTTATCTTTTCCCATGAATATGATGATTTGTTATTATTATTTTATTAATTTCTAGGATTGTATCAACGACCTAATTATTGTTCTCAATTGTACCAATATCTGATTTTTAGTATGCCCACAACACAATTATCGTAAAATCAGGCAAACATATTTAAGCCACATAATTTAGGTATATTACCAGTCTTTACCCTAACAATTAGCAATCAGCTATGCCGTATAAAAAATATAATATCAGCCCTACTGCAAATGTAATCCATATATAGTCAAAATTACCTGTTCAGGAGTCTTCTCATGGTAGCGACTTTGAGAGACACCTTGTGCCAGCAGTTCCTTCACCCTCCCACCTAAATATAACTCAGAAAGGCAGCCATGTCCTTCAGCAATAAGTCCTGCTCTAAAGGCACAGAGGCCAAGCTGAGCCATTGATCTGTTAAATAGAATCTGGGTTGAGATGTCCATATGCTGAACAYTATCCTGYAAGTGGCTCATGAGCAACAARTCTCGGGATGTAGAAAAYTCATCYAAGATGGCATGGTGGTAAATGTCRCAAAGCATTGCCCGGGCCTTGGTTCGCTCATCCCCATGCTTGTAAATAAGGGAGACTAACATATCCATCAGTGCCCTACTACTCTCTGGAAAAGTAGGTTTCCGTGGCACAATTTCAGGACTGATTACAAATGCAGTTGGACCMCGAGTTTCCTCCACAGCCTTTRATTCAGATTCTTCTCCACTCTCTRCMSCRTCTGATTGCTCGGACAGTTTCCGCATAGCATCATATACTTCCTGTGGTTTATAGTAGACAAGTTCAACAAGCCTTAGTGCTACCTTCGCTGCAGCTTTGTRATCCCCAACACGTTCAAGATATTCTTGGACGTTTTGAGCAAGGAGAAAAAACAAGGGTTCATCACGAAGCCTCTCAACATACTCACGAGTGTGAGGATCAATGCATTGTAGACTCTTAAATAATTCGACATCTACTTTCTCAAGAAAGGCAGCCAAGTTTCCCCATATTCGTATGGTATCGTTGAAGTCTGCGCCTTTCTGGGTCTCATTTTCATCCGGCTCCACCGAGTCATCAACCAGAATATTAGGATACTGSGCAAGAATATCAAGTATGACAAGCATATTCTGCACACACTTCTTCCATACATTTATAGGCATGTGCCCACTGAGACCTGGGTTGACATCAAACTGTGCCGATACAACACTGAATAGGATCTCAAGCTTCTGTGCAGGAGTTTTGGCCACCCTGGTCAGGAAAGTAAGCTGCTCAACCAGTTCAAGCCTTCCAGTCCCCTTTCTACCTCGGGCAGCAACAATCTCTTTAAACTTCTTGTTGACTATATCCCAAGTGACCTGGCTTGGATCCTTAAACTGCTTTTCCATTAGCTTATCTTTCTTATTCATCATTCTCTCCCAACCAGGTTCAGTTTCATCCTTCTCCTCATCATTATCGTCTTCAGACTCTGACCCAGAATCTACTTTTGTTGGGTCATCAATATCTGAACCAGTATCATCATCTTCMTCATCCTCTGACACCTCATCCGCTTCYTCTTGATCCTCAAAGCTTTCAGGAGTTTCTCTACACTTATTGATCAACTCCTCATATTGCTTATTGTTTTTCTTCAGTTTTTGCTTCATTGAGTTCAATGCCTTTGCATTGCTACTACTCATCTTCTTCTTTGCCTCCTTATTTGCCATGGCCTGATTCAAGAAGTCCTCTAACATAACCAAAGCCTTGACATAGTTGTTAGGGACTCTATCTGATTCTGTAACCCTCATGACCTTCTCAAGCTGCCTATTAATCTTGTCAAAGCTCTCCTGAAGGCTGACCCAGTCATTAATCTTCATTGCATTCTTCATCTGATCAATAGTTGCWGACAACTCCTCAAACCGCTTGTCTTTCGCAGACTTAATRACACGCTTATGCATGTCTCCATCGTCACTATCACTATCGCTATTGTCAAGATATTTGTTAGCACCAGGGGCACTAACAGCATTTTCTTGCCCCTCAATGACATCATCCTGTTCGGAATCACTCACTTCATCCTCAGTATCACTGTCACCCTGTCATCATAGAAACATAAAAATTACATCATCATTTTTCTTGATTTTTTTGTCGTCTGATTCCCGAATACAAATCACAAAGAAGATGGACTAGAAAATTTTATCAGGTGCCAAACAAACCTGGTTACTCCAAAATTTCGACGCCATCTTCTTATCTCGCAGGTTACAAATCCAAGAACAAGGAAAGCTGCAGAATAAAAACTTTAAAATTGCATGAAGCAACACTCGAAAGAATCAAACAGTAAGAACAATTGATGAACAAATATCCAAAAATACAGATCCGCGAAGAGGCAGAAAATCGTCGAAGTATCTCGATTCGATTGTTGCGTAGTGTAAACCTTGGTTGGATCCGATGCTTATTAGTAAAAGAGAGAAATTAGCAATAGAATACCTGTGAGTCGGAATCCGGGGGAGTGAGGGAAAGCTAGGGCAAGCGAGAGGAGAATGTGGTTTTCGTCGGCTAAGGTTTTGATTTTAGGGCAAGATGAGAGGATGACAACGAATGGATGAGATTGAAAATGGAATCCGGGTTAGACAAGTTACAGAAAAAGCTATTATTACTTATTTTATTAGGAATTAATTGGGTTCATGCTTCATCTTTGAATTGAATTGGATTACTTCCTTTGGGCCGGGTTTGAAAATATTCTTTGTTTTGTAGTTGCAGAATGGTTTGTTGTAAAATGATTAGAATGATTATGATGCTTTTGTTATATAGTATAAAATGAAATATAATTGTTTGGTAATTATATACAATAAAATTAAGGCGCTTAATGGTTAAAAGAAGTCCATAATACAAAATCATTCAGAGGGTTTTAGAATCATTAAGAGAAAGACTTTTTTTTACCAAACAAGATTCACCTCTTAACGACTCAGAAACTGTCTTTTAAGAGGTAAACAAACAACCCCTATATATAATATTAGCCGTTTAACTAAATCTTGATATTTAAATTTCAACTTTTTAAATTGTTTATTTTACGGTTAATGCTAAATCATCTTCAACTTATATGCATTGTAAATAACTTCAACTCTCGTCAATTTCAAACTTACATTTTATATCTTTATAATTAGTGATTTGATCTACTTTATATCCTTACTTTTTCATTTTTAATTTACCACCCTTATCATATTAACACAAATAATTATATATGAAGTAAATGCATTCAAAAATACTTTTTTTTTATAAATTATACAATTATAATCATCTAGTCAATATCTTCAAATTAAGCCCAAATATTGAATTTTTTTTATTTAATAATACCATCAAATATCATAAATACATACGAATTATTTTATTTTATATCCATACATTTTCATTTCACATCTTTATCTATCTATACTATATTATAAAGCATGTTAAACGATTATTATTTAATTTTTAAATTGTACAAACATTGATGCATTATGTACAAGTTTAAAAGCTTCACAATCGCTCGCATTCAAAAAGATAATTAAAAATAAGATTATTTTTTATTTTCAAGTTACACTTTATACCTTTTTAATTAATTATTTAATTTACTTTATATCATTTTATTTTTTGTTTTAACATACATAATCATATATTAATTAAAATAC